ACACGCGATCCGAGTGCGTTCTTGTTTTATACAATAAGCTTTCATAATGTCGGTGAATGGTTTGCCTATGTATTTAATTGCGTGGGAATTACGATAAACTATTTGACGCCCTGTGTAGTTTTGAGTATTCAAGATGTTGAATTAATCCTCGAGTTAAATGCAATTGCAGCTTGTAAACCGTATATTTGCATCTTCATTGAGGTTCAGTCGTCGGGTCAATTGAATCAAGTGGCGATCGATGTTGGCGCACGCTCGCGACTATTCACATCCTTCACACGAGGCGAACATCCTCGTATTACTCATTGTCGATTGCATCGCGCTGGCATCTGCAGAGAAATACAATGCGCGCGCTGCTCGTCAAGACGAACGTTATAGGAATTTATAGTGCGGCAGCGATAGGGCATGGCTAATCGGCGGCTCCGTTTATAGCGGTAATTGGACCGCGCCTTATTAGTGGCTGCGCATGTGTATGCATCCGGCTCGCGCGCAAGTCCTCGCGCCGCGTATCCTGCGGCACTCGAGAGAAAGAGCCCGTATAATAAGACGCAAGCGTAGAGCGAAAGAGAAGAGTAATAAATCTCAAAGCGGCATACTCCGGGCAACATTTGATCCTCGCGCAACTTGACGCCGCGTGCGAGCGTTAATTTATTGTCCCGCGCGTTTCAAGTCACCTTGGTCGTCTGCGTCGCGAAGACACCTATCAGGGCGGTGTATTTCTGCCCCAGACGTTTCGCTCGTTTACCTCGAATAAACAAAGTTTATTTATAATCTCTCTCTCTCTCTCTCTCGCTCGCAATTATTTGTCTCGTATCTGCCGAAAATGCGGATACTACGAGCGCACGCGCGTCTCTAGCTAAAACAGCGCGCGTGGAATCTCGGAGCGGCGACTACTCCGGCGGGTGCTCACTCGCGAGTTAAATTTAAGTCGGAGCGCGGATTCTCCGAGTGGAGAAGGGCCGAGAAGAACTTTTTCGACGGTTAATCTTTATTATCCCATGCTCCATCCCGTTCATTGTTAACGAGATGTCGAACGTGTCTTGGCACGGGCGCGCCCGCAAGAAAAATGCCCAGCACTTAGGATGCGCCGTTAAGATGATACCACTTTGGATCCGCTGACTCATCGCTTGGTTTTTTTTTAATCGGTGCGGCTTAAACATTAGTTTCGCTGCCGTTGGCCCTTATCGACGAAATTCATGACTTCGCAAAGAGAAAGTTCGTTACGCGTGCGAAATCACTCTCGCGGCGACCTCTCTCGTTAAGCCCCGTTCGCGTCGCCGATAATAATGACGCATGCGACGACGCGTGACGCGTTCGGGCCGGTGCACTAGCGCGTCGACGTCCACGTGTACGCGGGTCACGATGTGCGGTCATTCGCATTGGATTTTCGTCCTACTGAGCTAGCTTGGAGATTCGCTGCTGCTCCGAGCTGACCGAACGATTTACGAGCGGCATTACCTTTGCAGGGCTCTTTGTAGTAGAAAGCCTTGTGTAAATAGGCTTCGGCTTCGGATCTTTGCTTCGCCGGGAGGGGGGGATTAGTGCATGGATTTGGTCGCTTGATCGCAGACTATTTTTCACGCGATTTTCTCGCTAGGATGCGATAAGATAATTTAGTGACGATTTGTTATACTCGAGACTGAAGAGCCGAAATTGAGCGGTAGTTTCAAATGGTAAAAAACACGACTATTTCCAGTGTTTCCTTCTACTGCTCTCTACAGTCGATCATCCAACTCGTAACTCTTCTTTCTCTCTCTGTTTCTCTCTCATCACGAGTCCCTGTTTCACGCTACCACCACAGAGCGCATCGCTTTTTCATTGCTTACTTTTCAGAGGTTCTCTTTTCTCGCGTGCGGTACAACCTCTTCTTTCTGCCGCAGCTGGTGATTTACGTTCTCTCTTGCAGGTCGATTCGGATCCGTTTCTGACACGCACATCTCCGCTTGCACGTCTTGATTAAGCGACAATAAGCATGACTCTGCCTCTCTCGCGATAGCCAGCATTTTTTTCTTTCGACGTAAAAGCAATTCATTGCGAATTATTTATCGGAACTTACGCTATCGAGTCGGTTGTACAGAAACACATAATGGCAATTGTTACTCGTGTAATACGTTCAAATGGCAAGGCGTTTCGACGGCCATTTTGACTGGTCTTACGTGCCAATCGAACGAAAATTCGGAGATTTCATAAGGCGGCTCCGTTTAGAAAAACGATTGTCTCATGAAAAATGCAGGATTAAAATTTGCAAGTGCACGCATAATTAATGACGTCGAGCAGTAATATACTTCTTGGCTGCAGTCTTGTCTCGGAATGCAAACGCACGCGCATGCTGCTAATAAATACGTTACATTGATGTGCGTTTGACATTCAATTTTCCAGTGGTGAGCCAAGGGTAACGATAACGAGCGTACAGTTTACGCTATCGCCACAGCGATCTTTACCTTGTAGATAATATCTGTGCGCGTTTGAAAATTATCGCCGGACCTTCGAAAATAAGAGCGATTCCAGAATCGAAAATGTGTTGGGTTGTTGAGATTGGTATGCTGTTGATTCGAACGAGCGTCGGCCACGGGTTCTCATGCGCCCGCACTTTTTTTCGTGTTTCTTTCACTGCGCGCTCGCTTGCGCTCTCCTTTACAAGAGGGAGAAAGAAAAGAGAGGAGCCGCCATCCGTCTTCATCGGCCGACAGCGCGACGGGCGGCGTTTGCCTCCAATGCTCACCAACAGAGAACTTTTCTTATACTTCTTCGGGCGCCTTTTTTCCCCCCGGATCTTCTCGACGTCGAAGCTCAGCCCACTCTCTGCCGCTGCGCGTACCGCTTTTTTTCATGTTATACTTTCGGACCTCAGAAACTTCGCGCGAGTAGCGCGAAACTTTGTCTGCTTGTTTGTTTTTGTGCCGGCTCCACTTGCAACGCTGCTCTCTTAGAAAAATTGATTTGTCCAAGTTGGATTTCGGGAAAACTCGAACTCGAATGATCGCGAGTTGTTATCGGAGGCATACCAAAATATCGTAACGTTTTAGCATCTCGCCGTCCGCTCTTGAATCTAGAGATGCCGATTCTTCTACAACATAATTAAATTCACAATGACACGAGCATGAAGTATATTAATATTCACGATATTTATCGTTTTCCCTAAGGCAATTTCGCGATTCCAATAAAAATCTAACTCTAAAAATGAACTTGATCTTACGTATAGAAATAAAATTTTCATCCTCGCCGTAAAGCTCTTATTTTACTTGCCCGTTCTCTTCCGCGAGCAGATTAAAGTCTCTACTTCCACGACGCAATTAATATTCTGCACGGGAATGCCATGTAGCAACCGATCGTTCCACGCGACATACGTCTGCGTCGCATTACCCAACGCTAAACCTCCGAAAAATGGCGTATTCAGTCGCCCGGTGATAAGGATTATGCGGAGGCGAGGACGACAGCAGCACGAGCAAATAAAAAGTTTGACGCCGCGGGAACTTGGCTATGCAAATACGCGCGCGCGCGCGCGCGCGTGTCTCCGGGGGATAAGGAGAATTTCATTTCATTTCTTCGTCACACTTGTGGTTTCTTTTCTTTTCGATGCTTGCCCAACTGGCGAACGACGAAAGTACAAGAATGTTTTCGAAGACAGATCGTTTATTCTAAATGCTGAATATCTGCGCCTCTTATGTATTTTTTTTAAGTATCGATCGCGATAGAAGATTATACACTTTTAGAGGAATCCGAATGAAAAATCGCAACGACTTACAATGGCGGAATAAATTAATCATAGATTTCGAGATGGAATGAAAACTTTTGCCGCGATACCTTACAACTTCTTCTCAGAATATTCATGCCGACCGCGTAAATTCAGCAAAGATTTCGAGGATGTAGAGCAATATAACAAATGTGATCTCGTATAGGAACCGATGCCGACAACGATGGCGTCTGACAAAACTTAAAAATGCGAGAGAGAAACGTGTTTTGTTGCGGTATTCCCCAACTGGCGACTATGATATATAAAGTCCCTGTGATTAGAATGACGGTAAACAGCGGTAAATAATCGTTGGCGATACATGCTCCGGCATACGTTGTACCTGTACGCATACGTGGACACTTTCTGAAATCCCACGATCTTCATCGCTGCTCGTTTCTTCTTACTTTTTTTAAGGAGCGCTTGATAAAAGAGACGTCGTCGTAGGTCCGGTGTTTTTGTATATAGTCCCGAGCGAGAAATTTTTTAATGATACTTATATCTGGAAAGCTTTCTTCGTTAGAAGAGAGATACACTCAGAACGAGGGGAAAAGATCGAGTGGATAGTGTTAGTTTTATCCTTTTAGCAGATGAAGAAACAAATTTAGAAATGGTCTGTATCTTTTTTCTACAGTTAGACTTTCTTCTTTCTACAACAACCTCGATGACACGTTCTATGACATGTTTGTTAATGGTAATATGCCTTATTGATGGATATCCTTAATTCATACTTCTCCAGAGTAACAATTATTTACTCTCGATACATACATCCAATAGAAAGTAGTACGTTACTTATCAAAAGTATATTGGCAAAATAGTAAAATAACAATCTTGAAAATTGTAATCCTTTGATTTGTTCGAGTTGCAGATTGAATAACCTGTATTTGCTCAGTCAGCTGATTAATCGCTTGGCGATGCCGCATTGGTATGTTTATTACTAGGAACGTTGGTTTAAAAATATCAATATGCGTCTCATTGTAAAAAGAGTATAAGTACGAGGTGTGACAATAGCTTTGCCAATTATTTTTATCCAAGCCACATAAATCTCTTGGCGCACGTTTCTCTCTCTCTCTCTCTCTCTCTCAGTGCGATAATTATTCGCAGAGAAGTTTCCATTGACTCCCGAAGATTAACGAGCGATTCAACCATCAATCAGTTGGCAGCCGTTCTCGCGCACACTTTGTCCATTTAAATAATTATCGCAGTTAATTAATCGAGCGAGACATTAGTGAAAGCAAGTGAATAACGAATGATTTGTGCTGGTTGGTTGCAGAGAGGAAGCGAGGTCGTCAGACGTATACGCGATACCAAACCCTCGAGCTGGAGAAGGAGTTCCATTTCAACCGCTACCTGACCAGGCGACGCAGGATCGAGATCGCACATGCGCTCTGCTTGACCGAGCGCCAGATCAAGATCTGGTTCCAGAACCGCCGAATGAAGTGGAAGAAGGAGACGAAAACGAAGGGCGAGCCAAATAGCGGCGACGGTGATACCGACATCTCGCCACAGACGTCGCCGCAAGGTTGAGAACTCGAGAACTCGTCGTGGTCGTCGTCGTCGTCGTCGTCGCCTAATCATCGTTCTTTGAACTCCATCGCCACCAGTAGCTTTGAGCTTACATCAACAATGACGAGGCCAGAGCTGCAGCCGATCACTGAACGCATACACACACGAGAGAGCGAGGTTAGATGCGACCTCCTTTCCGAACACCTACCTCCTTATACCGATGATATCCCGCCCTCATTACTCAATTCCTCCTCATCCTCATATTCCTCCCAAATCGACCTCCAATAAGCCACCTACGCACGGATATTATGTGTAATTGTTTTTTTTTTCTTTTTTCATTGATGACGAAATATATGCTATATATAAATATTACCCATAAATGGCCCTTCTACGCAAAATGACGCTTAATCTTGTCGTAAAACACAAGCTGCTCGTACCAAATATTGTGAAAATAATAACAGGAAAAATAAGGAAGACGGACGATTTAGGGACAGAGATGAAAGTTCTCGGAAGAAAAGCGGAGACGAATGCCCACACGAAGATTTTTTTTGCGAGTGTGTGCGTGCGAATGCTTGTACTCGAAGTTTTCTTTTTGTGACACGGGACGATGGCAATTATTTTGGAACGGTCACAATACATGAATATAGATAGGACACACCGTTTAGTGTTTTTATTTTATTGTGTAATAGGGATGTTTGTTTTCTTATTTTATTTTTCATCTTTCCTCGAGCGAAAGAGAATCGAGTCTTAGTAACGTCGACGTGAAATGCGCTGATTTGATCATGGAAAACAAGTATTCTGAGCGAACTCGAGATAGGATACGTACGATCACGCCGCACTGTCCATTGGTCGGCACAGAGAAAGAATAAATGCAAAAATTGTGTCATGTCACTGCTGTTTGGTGCGTCGATGTGAACGGCTCGCGACCTTGATCTCGGTTCCATTGAGTCTGTAGAGAGGCGGTGAGAGAATGTACACATGCGTCGGTACACAACGAGCGTTGATTGACATTTCAACGACTCGCACAAGAGGACTTCTTTGTATTCAAATTCTCGGCTGAAATGACTTACTCCCGCAGTGATTTGTGCGTATTTCTTTTCTAAGAAATGCATATACAATGACATGTCGTTCGTGGCCAGCTACGCGCTTATCAAGCGTGCAAATGAAACGCATGAAAAATCATACAAATAGCACAATTGCTTTCGTATCTGCAGTAGTTTTGAGAACGACAGACAGACTCGAGAACAGGCGACAAATCGAGATGGAATATAACTCACGTAGAATGTTACACCAGCTATATTGCATACATCACTGATTCTATCAATTGTTCTCAACGAGGCAATTGCTCTGGCATCCGTACTCTCGCGGGACTGTAGGTCATTTCGAAGGGTATTATAAACATGCAGAGAAGTCCGTACGTGTCGCACTCTATAATATGACAAGTTTTTATATCGACGCACTTGCTTGCGATTCTCCGCGGTGTAAATAAACGAGATAAATCGACTGGTCGACAAGCACGATTGTTCTCTAGAACTATAGATTTTTTGTTTTATTAATTATTATTGATTTTTTTCACTTCTCCGTCAAGCAAACAAAAAAGGGAGAATCGAGAAAAAAAACACACAACCCCAACTGCTTCACGTGGAAACGTGGCTGAGTTACCAACGATATTATACGATCGTGCGCTTGTTTTGTTTCATTTTTTTTTTATTATTTTTTCCCAGGTAAGCGTGGTGCACGCGCGAGTGAATATTTCATTTTTTTTTTCGTCGTCCTTAATTCCTCTCTTGTCGGGATATTCGGAAGCACGCGGCACTCTCGTCGCGCGTGCAGGTGTAGGAGCAGGAACCGAATAGAGGCCGAATGTGCTGACAAAAGACGATATTGTGACTCACAATTTGTGTAAGCGTCAAAACGTATATACGTAAATACTTGGTGATCCTAAACTCAAAGAGAACATATAGGTATACGATAAATAATGCTATATAATAGTCAAACGAATGAAGAATCCGGTTTATTATTCCTGCAGCGTTTTAAAAAGTGCCGCGGAGCTTCTTGGATACTTGGTGGTAAAGTCGCGAATCGAGCAAATAAAATAGCTAAAAATAAAATCTAATCAATGCTAGCGTAGTAATGTAATAGACGGTTGTTTTCTATCCAAACATTGTGAAATCTCTTCTGTTCGTTCAGTACGTCGGAGGGACAAGGGTGATCGGAAACACGTGAAACTAAACACAAAAAAAGTAATGATTATATAGAAAACCCGGTCATCACCGATATGAAAACCGCACGCCGCGGCGAGTATTGCGCTGTGTTGGAAAATTAGCTCAACACTTAATAATAACAAAACAAAATCATGGAAAATCCTGCAGTAAACGACATACGTAATTGAAGATAATACAATTATTATTAATTATTGCATGTATATACTGGATTAGGAAAAAATGGCGATATTCGATTTTTAGACTCGAGGAATGAGATTTTTTTAGAATATATGCATGACATAAGTGTATTGTCCATGGCTTCAAGCAAAACATATATAAATTTGGAATGATATTATCAAACGAGAAACAAAAATTGTAATATTGTAATGCATCGAGGCATCGGTGAAACAAATCTGACGATTCGTTTTGTTTCCCTAAAGTCGCTGTACTAAAAAAACTCTTTATTTATAATACGTACAAAAAAGCATTCTTAAAGAAAGCTTACAAAAATCTTTTTTATCCGACATAATAATCTATGTATAGAGTGTTTCGTTTTATGTAAAAAATATATTGAATAAAGAATATATATACGGACTTGAAAAATATAATAATGAAACTCTTGTTTTTTTGAGAGATTTGTCTACATTCTTGGTCCTCGATGTACACCTGACCGATATACGTAACCAAAAGCGGTCGACCCCGCATAGCCTTCCCTTTTGTCGAAGAGATTTATTTTATTCTACTTTGATAAAGTAACGAATACTGTAATAAAAAAAGAAATTTACAAAAATAAATGATATATCAGGTGATTTCACGCGATTGAAAGGGTCACACGTCGATTTTTTTAAGGTGCATAAAGTCACCCTCACGGTTGATAAATCACCTGTGATGCACATTGCAAGCTATGAAAGACGGATATCGCACTTCACTAAGCACATTAAAGAGAAGAAGAGATTTGTTTTCAATTCACGCTTTGTGCCTCTCCGTAAAAATTTTTATGGATATTTCATATAAAGGAAAATGTTTTCTATTATATTTAATTTGATTCCTGTTTAATTTGAAAAAATTAAACGTGAGTAAACAAGGAAGTTTGCGCGCGCGCTCGTCGACGTTCGTCATGAGTACTAATTGTCCATTAATCAGTCAGCTAATCTATATAGGTCAGTTAATAACAGCGTCGAAATAACGTGCGGGGCGCGGCTGTACGAGACAAAGCTGATAGATTTATAGCCTTCTCGCGCTTTGTGTTTACAATTGTTGCAACACTGCATAGTGCTAATGTGCTCTGCATGCGCACTCCAGCTTGAGTTAGAATATCCGTGGAAAAAGTGCTCGACATCCCTCGTTATTTTCAACGGAGTAAAACAAGTTTGTTTAAGCTTTCGCAATTTTCGTCATACAATTTAATCAGTCACCTCGGTAAAGAATGTTTTGATAAGGCCAAGTTGGGACTTGCAAGTGGTGGTAGATGTAATACCTGACTCTTTTACAACAGGAGCAATTTCGAAAATTAACGGTGAGGCACTGCGCGGCTTGGAATTTAACAATCAATCTCTCTCTCTCTCTCTCTCTCTCTCTCTTTCTCTCTCTTTTTCTGCATTTTATACTTTAACGAAACGTGCAATTATCCGGTTTTCTCGACGTCACAGTATTAATTCGATGAAATCGTCAACTGACCATTAAGAGTACATCGACGTGCAACCCGTTATAAATTGCACTCCCTGGTACATAATACACATGCTCACACATGATATAAGTGAACAAGCTCAATGCTTATCAAGTATACGTGAAAGAACAAAAATTGCCAGGCGAAAAGTTTTGGAAGATAATTCAAAGTATGCGCGGGATAAAATTTTTGTATTTAACGAATCTTTAATGAAATATACTTATACTTTAGGTGCATATGCGCGATGTGGTGAAAAAAAGATATGTGTAGGCTTTATTATATAGGAGAATAAGTGCAAATTATATATTTTATCTCTATTCGTATCTCGAGAGAAAAAGGTTGGAAAGAAAAAAAATTCATGAATACGAGGCTACATAAGTAAAACTGAAAAAAGCACCGTGGATGTGTATGTAGAGTCCGTAAAAACAAAAAAAGAATAAAATACAAGTGAATGAAAGAGAGTGAGATGATGATGCATTACCGTATAAAAATACGTCATTGTAAGCTAGCCTATTTATGAAAAATGTAAGCTGTAACGTCTTTAAAAAAAAGTCTTGAAAGATCCATAACGGTTAAGTAAATTAGAGTAAGTGAATACATGGCGTTGTTATAAAAAAATAATAAATGATAATCGGTTTACAACGGGCGGGGGCGATGGTAACAACAATTAACACTTTTATTTGAAATTGTATCATCAACAAATAAAAAATTGTAAAATTTCCCATTGGTGTCGTATTTGTATTCGTAGTAGGCGTAAAAACAAATAAAGTCGTGTTCTACAAGAAATTATTAAGTCTAATTGCAATCGTTTTGCGAATTACATCAAGGCATGAAGAAAAAAAGTAAATTAAAGTGAAAAGAAAGGGCAATTAGGTTAAGTGAATGGGAGAGAGAAAATAAGGTGAATGTAAGATCCTGGAGTTTGCGGAGTTGTAAATAATGTATTGCTATATAATTATGTATACCGAGAATACCCGCAAAAGCCAAACAAAAGTCTTATAAAATACAGATGCATACCATATTGGGCCGTACAATGATATTACTTAGTTACTTAGTATTTATTGATACCATATCTTTTATGTGTTATACATTACGTCAAACGGGACACTATTTGTTTCCACCGAAAATGTCTAATAAATATTTTTCACAATTTGAACAATTGGAAAAAACTGTCGTACATCTCAGATTTATATTTATTTTTCCTATTAACATTATTTCCCTCGTTACTTTTCTACTGGATAAAATGTTGTAATAATCAATATGAGAGCCTCGTCCTCGCTCGCGCAAACTCCGAAGAGTTCCTGGCCCCCTGTCCTCGCGACAGGCGTCATTATGTAGTCACGTGTAGTTTATAGCTCGGTAATTTTCCCAATAATCTGATACAAATTTATTCGTTTATCTTTCCAGTATACAAAAGTAAAGAAGAAACAGTTTATTCTATCACCTAAGAAATATCCTAATGTTCATTTTGAGACCTTGATGAAATCACGTTGATCACGATGAGGATCCTCACTTACAATTTGCCGCTTAATTATGCGATCGGCTTCATTGTAAATTTGGGAAGTTATCAGGCAAGTTTGGATGAAAAAATGTGATTTTATCAATGGATTTTTAATGTCTGAAGACTGATAAGCCTGAAAATTCACGCAAAATTGTATTACAAAAAGACCTGGTGACAAATGTTGATTGAAATAAAAGTATTTATATGATACTCATTAAGGATAAATTTGATAGCAGAGAATGTCGAAGATACCAATAAAATATGTTATAAAAAAGAGCTCACTGACACTGCAAACAGGAACTATCTAACGTTGCGGCATCAGATCGTGCCATCAGCGATCACCTCTCCCTTGTATACGATACCGCGTAGGTAAAGTAGGTACCTGTCTAGTAGATTTAAAATACAAAAAATAACTGTAGTGCAGAGTTTATAATTATTCTACGGCTCTATTTATTATGCGACATATGTTGGATATCCAACAGTATAATCCAAAGAGAATGAATGGGTATGGTTGAAGAAGTACTTGTAGAATAGACGGATTCGTTGAACATGTATTGCATTAATCATCCATAGTCACGTTTTGAAAAAAAAACTCGAAAAATAAACTCATAATGTAAAAAAGACAATATATTCCGATTGCCGCAGCGTCAATTTATTTAGCTGATAATATCAATCTTACAAGCAGATTCAAAAGTTAACCTGAAAACATGATTATATTAATGGTTTTAAAGCACTCTATTGGGATATTGGAAAATCAGAAGCCTTTCGACATTTTCTACAATCAAATTTATATACGAGCATGATTTTGAGAAAACGCGAAGAAAAAATAACGAATAAAAATAAACTTCAGCAAGTATAATTTACCAAAAATTAATGGTTAGGAATATAGAAGCTCAAAAGCAAAATGATGAAGAGGTATAAATAAAATTACATGAACTATGTGTATAAATATTGCAGATACGAAGGAGGTATATATTACGAAAATATAAATACAATTATTATTAATTATTATAATTATTACACATTTATAAGAACGTAATTAATTTTGTAGTGTCAAGCAGCATGTAAACTAAGTGTACACATCGTACAAAAGCAGAAAAAAAATAACGTAAAGATAAGAATATAGGACGACGAAAAACATACGACGATTGTCTGTATTTGATAATAGAAAGACGGTCAATCTCGCGCGATGTTTTATTATAAGACGCGTCAATGATCGTGAGGAGTACGATACGTTTACACGAAGAAAAAAGTGGGATTGATTAATGAAAAAAATAATGAGATGAAACAAATTCGTACATGAAAACTACGTACGTAATAGTAATACACCTATGACGGAAAACGATATGATTTATGTATTATGGGCGCCGGCGATGGCTATAATGATAAATATAGTATTACCTGCTATTGCGTCGACGAGTCTAAACCATATTGTATTATATATAAGAGTCTGTCCATATTAATAATAATGATATTAATTATAATAACTGTGTTTGAGAACGAGAAATAAAATGTGGTTGAATATGAAAATGAAACAAGTTACTGTCTCGTGTTGCCAATAATTATATCTCACACAAATGACCTCGTTAGTTGTTTTTCGTTGGCCGGTCTTTTTTTTTTATTTGCATCTGCGTAACGAACGAGAAAGTACGTAATCGTGGCATGTGTGTTTCCTCTCTGGCCAGAAAAGCATTCGAAATCTGTTCGGGATCTCGTCGCGCGGTGGCGTCGTCGGGGAATTCGGCTGGAGAGCCGGCGAGCTTGGAATTATCAGCGCGTGCTTGAGCTTCGTCAGGTGAGAGCCCTGGGGGGTCCAGATTCTCTTTTCCATCTCGCTCGCTCTCACGCGCCAAAAGGAACCATTGTATAATCCAAGATGGCCTCTCCGTCGAGAGGAGAGGATTATTATTGGCTAATACCGAGGCGAGAGGCTCCGCCTTGGCTCATGGCTCGTGACGGGATGATTTATCGGCTCTGCGCGCTCGTTCGCTCGCGGCCTATACTACTGCTACTACCTGCACCTCAAAACCCCTTCTCTTGCTCTCTGCGTCTCTGATTTTGACGGCTCTCGCTCGATGAACTTTCTCCCCCTCGATCTCCTTGTATATACTCGGCCACTAGCAGCGGCTCCACTCGCGCGGGATTTCGCATTGTTCGCGTGACGTTCGGACTCTGGCTGTACGCGGAAATGGATGAGGAATTACCCACTGCCATTGCTTCTTTCTCCCGTTGCGATCAATTCTTTATGTTATACTGTCTCTCGCAGACTTGTTCTGGACTCATTATATTTCATTTAGTTTTGGCAAACTTATAAATCATGCAATTCAGTATTTTTTCTTGCGCATAGTCATAACTCACATTAATTTGTCGCTGTCTTATTTCTTATGTATTTTCAATCCAAGTAGCGATCATTATTATTTTTCATTGGATACGATCAATCTTCAAATTTTCCAGAAAATGATATATTTATACTAGGCTTTTATGGTTAATCGATTTTATCTCAATTTCCGTATCCTTATTATCAGCTTTGCAATTAAGGCTTGGGTACATGTTTCTTCAAAAAAACATCAGGTGTATTGCCGTCATCGACCTCCTGGGGACGTATCATTAAATCGAGTGTTCATTACATCAGTAGCATATATCGTACTCTCTCTTATAAATACATTTTCAGACCGACGCATCGTCGAAAGCTGTGGTCGCATCGTCATCGGCATGCAAAAAACTCATCATCCCGATGATGGAAACATACACTCACACAGAGAAAGAGAGTGAGCCTACGTCTGATTATCCATCGGAACCCGCTCAACGCCTCATTACGTACACGGCCGATATTATCTTTATTAAGGGATACGACATTTTTTTTCCGTTTGCTCAGCCAAAACAGGTGTGTTATAAGGTATATGTATGTCCACAAGAGTACTGCAACGATCATTCAGGAGTCAGTCAACTGGAGGAAAGTTATAGAGGTTGCAAGCATGTTGGATTACAGAGGCGTTGATGACTTCCTGCCGATAGTAGCATACCATAGCCTTGACCTTGGATCTACATTACTGTAAGTGGAACAGTCACTTCCTTTAAAACTATTAATTATATATGTTATGCGATGCACAGTTTTATTATAACATTATGCATCTTCTTCTTTCTAATTTGAAAGTTATTCGTGTCTCAATGTTTTTCTTGATACGACGGCTTTGCATCCTTCCAATATTAAAATAGCCGAGTCCATTTTTTAATATTTCTTATATGCATGAATGAATTTCGCTGCAGCTAATGAATCACCCGAAACATAAGTCATCTAGAGAAAATAATGCAAAATAATTAAACCTCGGCGAGAAGAAATGTATGCAAAGCTCGCGAAAAATTTAAACGACTGAAAGTTATATATTATATGATATGCATCGCGTGCCCGTATAAGCTATTTTCTTGTCGATAAATCATTGTATATTCACCTCTCTTTTGACACTCAAAAGGCGAGTTTCTTCTTCCCGTAATTTTCAATTAAAAAAGGGAGAAGTTCCCGTCAAATTAAAGCACAATAATATTAAACACAACCTATATAATGTGTCTAGCGAAAATAAATTATCCAAGCTGTTACCTGCATATAAATTATGTTTTAATTGCTTTGCTCTCTCTCTCCCTCTCATCACGTTCTCATTGTGGACATGTAATGGCGAAACAGTCATCACGGAGCATGATACGGAAGTTGATCGCCAATTAAACAACTTCATAGCGAAACGAACTGATAAATAAACATTTTCAATAAAGGCCGAATATGTCATGCAGCACTGATCCTTTCTCAGTATGACACAAGAGCTTATTCTCTCCCTCTCTCTCTCCTTTGTACTTTTGAAGGTTGCTAAGTCAATTCATCGGATGCTCTTTCGCTCCCTTTTGAGTTCACAGGTGCAGAAACGGCAGCTGGGTCACGCAGACACATATACCTTAAACTAAGGCGAACCCAACCGCGACGCCGCCACTGCTCTACATTTGTGCGAAGGAGGCGAAACTGAAGCCAAGGAACGTGACGTGCAGAGAAAGAGAGAGAGAGAGAGAGGACGACGGCCAAAATTTATGGGCGCTTTATCACTTTTCCGGCCTTGCCCCCCACCGACACTGGCGTCTCGCGAGATGAACGTTAGCAATACCACTTCAGCCTGCTTTTGATGCTTACATGGTGAGTTTTGACTTTAACTTTTGGCTTTGTTTAAGGATGCCATGAGCGGTTAGGATATTATGGCATATCTTATGCAATATGGAGGAGATCAAAAAGATTACTCGTTTTTTGGAAATTCTTGCAAATCAAGGACGCATAAAACCTTGTAATGACATATCAGTAGAATATCTGATTCATTTCTTATGCAAACAAATGACTCACTGTACATTTTCAACTTTTCTACAGCTTCGAAAATCTAAAGATATACGATACTTCGCATTAGATAACATCACTAAATGCGATCAAAGAAGAAAGAAATGCTGAAGGTACGAGTAATATAATCGTTTAGATGAATAAAAGAGCAGGGACAGAAAAAAATCGGGATAAAGCTTATTCGTGTTCTTCTCTTAGTCGTATTCCTCGGTCGAAGTCAATCCTTAGATTTATGAGACAAGTAAGTCTATAAGGTGGCTGCATGCTAGCTGCGACGACGACGATCTTTATATGTACGGGTCGCGTGACACGAAAATTATTCAAGGGCGTCCTCGTAGATGAAGTTAAAGAGAAAAGAAATAAGGGACTTTGCAATTTTCTTAACTGAATGATTAATAAAATCAGTCAGTCGTCCTTACATACAAGCCTCGAAACCACATAATCACTGTACGTACTTCGGAGCAGTCGAGGCTTTTCTCTCTCGTCGACTGTATGCATGAGCATCGTTATCCTTAATAGAGTGTTAACTGCCGGCGGAACGTTTCCAACCTCGGGAGATAGAGAGAGAGAGAGAGAGAGAGAGAGAGAGAGATCGAGTTTGGTTGTGCGTCCGAAATATACGTTCGCGGTGTGCGAGTGCACGCTCGCTGGCTTGCGCTGAGAGATATTCTTCGGCGATTGTAGTGGCGTCCCGCTGCTTTGCATGCTGGAAGGCATCAATATCCGTCCTGGCAATTCGTATAATACGCACCCAACGTATAATTGAATGACCACGCAGCACACACACCGTGCCTGCTATAAGGCCTCTTTCGTCGAGCAGGCGAATAAACCCTATACGCGCGCGCGTGTCTACGTGCAGCCCCCAGCCCCAGCGATTTATGGGCGCGGCTCGCGCTCTCGGTTCTGCGCAACGATATGCTGTGGCTTTCAATTCGGACAGTTTCTTTTTCTTTTTTTAGTTTTTTAAGCGATCATTGCTTTTTCATTTGACTCTGCTGGACTGCAGAGAAGTTTCTCAAGTCCGTAGTACAACCGGACATTGTTTTATGTGTGAAATGTCGAAATGTTTGGATTTACATGAGTTTGTATTTCATTTAAATAGAGAGATATGAAAAAAGTCATTATCAAAGCCTAAGCTGATAACGATGTATCCGCGAAGCTCGTCGCACTTGCAAAATAATAGTAGTATTTAAGCGTAGACGTATTTGCGGGGAAAGCTCGGCGTTAGTGGTGGCGTTGGATACATAACGTGCCGCACGGGACATAAATCAATAATATCGCAACCTTCCCCACCACTCCATACTTGGCCCTTTCGTCTCTCCCACTCCTCGCGTGTCCGCACATTGTCGGCCTATATCTATGTGCAGTATAACTGAAGCGACGCCGGCGTCTCGCTCTCGCAATCAATGCTCGCGTCTCACAAATTTTCTATGGACACGGCCAACGATATGAGTTATGCCACGTTTTAACTTCCACACAAGCTAATGCTCAACGTACGTAGCCTTTTCCTTCTTCCTCACCCCTCTCTCGTCTTCTCTCTGTTTTTTGCTCCGTTACGCACGACCAAACTTCTATTTTACTTTTTCCAACTTCCTTCTCCCTTAGCAGCCTTGGTCATTATTTTCGTATCGCTGCCACTCGCTGACTCAGCGTAATTGGTTTCACTCTTCTGTGTGCTTCTTTCTCTCTTCTTTTGTCTTTGCGCTAATTACGAAAAAATTAGCCCTGCACTTCTTAATCTAGTTCTGATTGTGCACTGCTATAAGAAAATATTCTTTTCTCTCGGAAAGTTGTTATTGCATATGCTAAAAAAATATGTTTCTTTCATTTTAATCGGGAAGCTGTTAGCAACATAATTAGACCTATAGAATTTTCATCATATACTTTTGGAAAATGGCGTTATGATAGTTATAGAATACTGGAAGTTTCAAAACTGCTTATTCATCATCCGTTTACAATGTTTTTTCTTATTGACAGATGGAATTTTCTTACGCTTTTATCTCAGATAATTTGGTGCTATTCAATTTTATGTACATTGCGATATTAAATTCAAGTGTAACATGTACATTGCTTTACATGTAGAACGGATATGTTTTTGTTATTTCTTGTTATTTTACTTATGAAATCGATTAAAAGAGAAAAAATACATACAATTTTCGTAAAATCTAATTTGTAGCAAAAGAGTTAATAATAGTTATATACTAAAATAATAAAATTTATGGATTGAGTAATACTCCACTAAAGTGTAATAAAACTGAAAATTTCCAAAGTTAAATTAGAATCTAAACCAATAAATCAAAAAGTAGAAGGTTGTTATATTAGGCAGCCTTATATTATAGCTTATGCAATTAACCCAGACGAATTTTGTGCGAGAGTACGATTCGCACACATACCCCCGGAAAAACAACATTTCATCCTTAGAAAAGGACGGGGGACTCACACACTCTACTTAGATGCAAAAGCTTGTTAGGCCGGATTCGAGTCTCTCTCACATAGGGGTGTACGTAATTAGTGAGATGCCGTATGTGTATGCTCATAAACGCGACGGGCACAGTGTGCTATCCCATGGGATGACGTTGGCAGCAGCCTTTTCCGTCTTTGTCTTGTAAGGGCGCTCGCTCGTGTGTCTCGTGGGGCCCCGAAATAATAAAAACTCGCTCTCGTGTCCACCGAGATATTTACGTCCGAGGTCTGCGGGAAAGGGACTCGGGAACTCGACTCGACTCTCGCGAATTGAAAAGCGACGCCACGGCAGAAGTCCAGCTTGAGAGATATAATTGGCCCCCGCAGGCAACACTTTTTATTTATTTTTTTTAATGCGATTTATTTTTCATCACGAACATGATTTCATTTTTACAAATGTGATTTCCATCGCTTTGTTTCAGATTGACAGCCAGAAGAAGATTGAGATATTTGAAGATTACCTCGTAATGTGTCACATTTTACCAAAGACCTTTTATCTTGGGCTACTATAGATACATGCACGTGAATTATTCATGCTCAAGAAGAATCATTTCCTGCACGAGCCTGTGAGTTCAGCAAGTGTTTATACAGATAGTGAAATGTATATAACTCGTTCAAAGGCTAAGCAGTCTAATAGTGCATGGATCCACTGATTGACGAGGACATTAGTTGTGATGACTCTGATTTTAGATAAATGCTGCAGTGATTGTGATTACAAACTAGATGATCTGAAATAATGTTGAAACGTATTTAAAATATATGTTACATTTTTATTGTTCATCTATAATATTGAAAAGTAATTGTGAAATACATACAAATATCCTAAACCCATTCTTCGTCACTCACAATAATATAATCTTTAATAATTTAACGTCAGAAGGAAATTTCAAATAGAAATATTTTACAAAATTTTGAAGTAAAAGCAATATTCATTACTTCACACTGGTGTAAGGTATGTACAAAATTTATAACAAATAAGTGAAGTGACATAAGAGAAAACAGACGTAAAATAAACAGCTTACTTGGCTAAAACATCAGAGCAATCTTGTGTACATTCCTGTGGCGACAATAGAAAACTCCCCTGACATGCTCGTATGCAACAACATAGAGAGTAGAGAGCAACGTGCTTGGCTATAACAAAGCAATTAGATCGGTATATACGTACGAGTACGGGGCATGTATATAGTACGCGCGAGCGCGAGTGAGAGAGAGAGAGAGAGAGAGAGAGAGAGAGAGAGCATCTGAAAAATCGCACGAGACGAGTCGCATGCTTCGCTTTCGAAAGCTGCTGCTGCTGACGCCGGCCATCAGTTGAGTGAGACAGCCAGATAGGACCCAACTTGTGTTGGAGTGAGACACCAGTAGGTTCGCTTGGTATGATGGTCACCGCAAACGCGAGGTGGTAGGCAGTGCGTTACAGCTCGGAGCTCCACCCCGACACTTAGTCAACGTCGAGGGCCTAGCCGATCACAACACTCGGGTCCGCCTCCGACGTTCTCCCATTCGCTGGCCCATATCTCATCGGGACCATCGTGTACCCGCCTGCCCCCTACTGCTCGGCGGCTAGGAGGTGGGAGTGCATGAGACTGTTGCGCGGCCATGTATCGAGCGAAAATCGTAGAGAGGTGCTGCTGTTCACGGTTGAAATTCGAACTACTCGGAGCGGATCGATGCTCTTTTTATTTCTCTCAAAAACTTATTTACAATTTGATAATACTTTTTTCAGTTTGCTTTTGAAAATGGCATTCAGTCGTAGTAATGAAACACAGTTGCAGCGAAAAGTCGTCACAAAAAATGTGCGTGAAACGTGTAGCCGCCCGAATTTTCTATTTTTTTCTTATTTTAACAGAACAATTATCTATAAATGCGACCAGAACAATGAACCTAGTGCCGTAAAACGCCGGAAACAATCATCTCGGTCACTGGTTTGTTTATCACGAGGTGAGTCTCGTAATGGCTGTTTAAATGCTTCTACGTTAACTTAATCCGATTCAGAATAAAAAAAAACCGCGAGAAAAATGCGGCAAAGAAAAAACAAGTCTAACAAAAAATATGACATTGTAATTCACTTATGTGCACTATTCTTTTCTATTTCTCATTCTTTGTCGCACAAAGTAGAAATACATGCATCATTTCCAATGTCGCGTTTGCCGCAAATTAAAATTCATAAGTTTGCATTCGGATTATAGAGAATTTATTTTTCTTACTTCTACGTTTACTGATGATTTCAAAGAACTTTATAAATATGCCATGAATCAAATAGGTTATTGTAAATATTGTTCTTGATTGGTGCGGTCAATTAAAAATCAAAAACCAATATCTTATCACAAAAAAAACAATTGTTTTTCGAAGTAGATCGTATGGCGCTTAGAAAGTTGAAACTAACAAAGACGGAAACAGCTCTTTTTAGGACCCGACGGCACTCACAGAAAGGTCATAAGTTACTATAGTTTCATTTGAAAATCTGGCCTCTCAAATAGATAACACGTGTGGCTTTTGTGTGGCGACACAAAAGAAGTTGATGCAAATTTCGAGCATTTAGTGACTTGAGGCAGACGCGCTGTGGGATATGCCGTAAACTAATGCCTTGGAGAAAGCTGCTGCAGAGGAAATTGGAGAAATGTGAAGCCCTTAGCGTTGTCAGTTTACAAAAACCACTCGGTCTTTGGCACGTGGTCTGAACGTTTCCCTATCGAGAAATGCTTTCTCCAAAAATTGACGCTTCCTTTTGTCTTTCATGCTTTTAAAAATTTTGAGAGTCCTGTGGATGACCTTTCATACTTTCATATCTTATTCTTCGATTATTAGATTATTCCTTTCATCTGAAGAATTAAAACGAGAGGCTCAATTTGTTTTTATTTCAAAAGCGGCGAAGTTGATGAACACGTTTCTATTAAATTAGTAACTACTCAGCGAAAAACAATCAGCATTTTTCACGAATGTCAAAGAAACAATTTGGAGCAAAAGATTAGTCGTTAAGTTCGATGCTTTGCAGTGTGATTGATTATTCCTTAATGATCTTTGAGGTATGTATGTCGCAAGAACGTCTTAATTTAGCTCTAAAATAAAAAGCTTAATGATAAGTATTGGATAAAAATTAATTACTAAATATTTTATACCATACCTACTACGTCTAATTACTTCGCGGAAGAAAGAAAGTAGTAATTTATTACTAGCCGGATTTCATTCTTTTAATGGAACTATTTATAGTTAGTAGACTAGTTGAATTTATCTACCTATGAATATTATTTCATTGATTTTAGGAATTGTAGCACAATATTTTTATTGAATATAAAAAATCGGTTGAAAAGGCATATTCACAATAAGATATAAATTTCCAATTAAAAGCTATACAAAAATTGATAGGCGTAATGTAAAGACAAAAGTAACAGTGATTTTCGCCAATAAAATAAAAATCATAGCAGCAATAACAAGGTAGTGGAAGCGCTTAATCATGGCGTAAGAGTCTTGAAAGCATTGCCGACGGCAGGCGAATTCCAACATTACGACACTCGCTTCTGCAAAGTGTGTTGCGATTTACAAAATTGCATTTTGATCGCACCAAATTTACGACTCGTCATAAATTTCTGCGCGCATATCGATCAGCTTACAGGTAGTGATATATACATTTCAAACGCGTACGCAAGCTAAATTCATTGTCACCTTTGGATATTTAGTACAATACTGGCAGTTGAGCTTTTCTTACATTTCTTTCAACATACATTGTTTTCATGGACATTAAGCAACGTTACATTTTTCTCTTACTTAAAACCTGCGCACACGTTATCATTATGAGGTCGTTGATGCAAGTAAGAGTGACTTACTTAATGATCTTAATGGAATTTCAGGAAATTCAAAAGTATTGCAAAATTATTTACTATAGGCGAATAAAAAAATTTCATTCCACATAAGTTGAAGTAGAAGCTCATTTTTTTCCTCTCTCGCTCGGGCACCTGCTGTAGAATAAGTGGGCTGCCACTTATTTTTATCACTTTATGCTTCTATAATGCACGTAATTAATCTACACCACTTGGAGCTCCTTATAACGCTTTTGCATCGCGTTAGAAAATCATGCGCGCAAATTTGACATCTTAATTAAAAGCATAAAAGAGAAAGAATGAAAAGAGGAATTTTAAAAGTGACGTCGATAAGAATCTTACGCTTTTTTTCGCGCTGCAGCCGCGACGGAAGAGTTTTATATGCACATTGGCTCGGAATCGCGCGCGAGCGGACGTAAACTGAACGGCGAATTAAAGAGATTATACACGCGCAGCTGTACACGACGCTAATAACACGAAGATTTACAAGAAAAGGGCGAAAGAGCTTGCGCGCCGGAGAGATAATGCAATTAAAGGGGCAACATCGACATGCTTTTCCCGTGCGTGTGCATAATGCGTTCCCTTTCTCTCGCTAATGAACGGCTTATGAATCTGGACTGGCAGTCAGATGCGTAAGAAGATAACATAATTCGAGCTGCACGGCACTGCGCTCCTTTCTGTCGATCTGCGAATTTCAGCTATCTGTACAGCGTGCTGCTCGCGACTCTTTCCACGCGAATAGGAATTTCGCGATCGCGGCTCATTCAGCGCTTTTGCACTTGGCTTGCTATTACCATGGGATTATGTAATCTCTGCTCGACCTTCGAGGAAGCTCTCTTTTCGCTTTTTTTAGCTGCGCAGATGCACAATAAAGCGGCAAATCCTGGATAATTTTGTGGTTTTTTTCAGTGCGAATAATTAATGCCAAGTACATATCACACGACGAGCAAATTTAATTTAATTGCCTTAGAAGAAGATGCTTCCGATACCGAATCGCAGATAAATTATTAATAATGATAGGCAGCCTGGTCGCGACGGTACTAAGCGCTTATATTTATCTGTCTTCAGAATCCAATTAAACAAGATAAATCTTTGAGGCTACAAAATTTTGTAAAAAGCAGATAAATCAGTGTAAATTTTTCAACTAGCCAACAGCAATATATACGATCTGTTTCGCAGGAGAGTAAGTTAAATAAACAAAAAGTAATTGGAATTTCTGAAAAACGTACGGTCGTTCATGATTTTTCACTGTCTGGAGCAAAAACTTTCGTAACATGAATAAGGTTTTTCACAGTGTACAGTGCAACCAATCGCGCAGAGGCGTATACACAAACACATGCGCACAGAATCTACCTCTATTTCTTTTTATTTGGCTCCGTTTGGTCTGCAACAGTGCTCGCTCGCGCGGTGCAGTCTCATAAATCGCCGCGTGGACTTGACAATGTACTAATCGCTTGCGCTGGAATCGGCGGCGTTTGAATATTCGTTATAATACAGTTCCCTCTTGGTATAGGTGTTCCTCTCTCGGAGTGTTCTCTTTTTCTGTTGCTCGTACAGACCATAGCCAGCCATTAGTCAGCCTTCGGCAAGAAGAGTCCGCTGTCGTGTAGCTCGCATCCGACAGATTTTTCCTTGGAGCCAACACACTCGTAGAGTATTTAGTCGTTCGTTTCTTTACAATAGTCCTCCCACGCGCACATCTTTTATTTTCACGCAGAATTAGAAGGACGTCAAGCTCTGATGGAGAATTTTTAGTCACTGTATACTGAAACGCGGAAATATCTGGAACAGCAAACAAACATTTTTCATGTATTATACCTGTACGTTTCACTTTTTTCC